AGATGGTGACTGCACCCATGAAATTAAAAGACACTTGCTCCTTGGAAGAAAAGCTATGACCAACCTAGACAGCATATTAAAAAGCAGAGACATTACATTGCCAACAAAGGTCTGTCTAGTCAAAGCTACGACTTTTCCAGTAGTCATGCATGGATGTGAGAGTTGGACTCTAAAGAAAGCTGAGCACTGAAGAATTGATGCTTTTGAACTGTGGTGTTGGAGAAGACTCTTGAGAGTCTCCTGGACTGCAAGGAGATCCAACCAGTCCATCCTAAAGGAAATCAGTCCTGACTATTCATTGGAAGGACTGATGCTGAAGCTGAAGCTCCAATACTTTGGCCACCTAATGCAAAGAACTGTCTCATTGGAAAAGACCCTGATGCTGGGAAAGATTGAAGGTGGGAGGAGAAGGGGATGACAGAGGATGAGATGGTTGGATGGCATCACTGACTCAATGCACATAAGTTTAAGAAAGCTCCAGGAACTGGTGATGGACAGGGAAGCCTAGCGTGCTACAGTCCATGGGGTCACAAAGAGTCAGACACAACTGAGCGAACGAACTGGCAACAAAAGATACCACTAACAGTTTTCTGGACCGTTAGTTACAGAATGTCTTCCTTCTCATTTGTCCTGACAGGTCTCAGCTACTCTCCCATCAGCCTCAAAGCAGCCCAACCTGTGTGGTGCCAGAGAATGAGAGCAGCAGCCAATGTTTGTACAGAGAACTAACTACATTACCCTTCTCGGCAGCAGACTTGACCTCACAAGCTTCGATATCCCCCCAACAGCCATAATCAGGAAAATATGGGAAAAACCAAGAAAGGTAGACTATTTGGCCCCTGACCACCATTTACACAGTCCGACAGTAACCTATGAATCTTAATCTAGATTTATTTTTTTCTTTGAAGGCATAAAGGACAAGTGGTCAAGAGCAGGTCCATAAATTTGCTCTGACTTTTATTAGATGGGGAATATTTTCATCTGAGAGGTCAGCATAACTTGGAGGAAAAGACAAAAAGCTCTCTGAAAGTGAATCACCATGTTACCCCTGACATAACACAGGACCACTGTCTACCGACAAGGGAGCTGCTTGCTAGTTAGAAATCCTTAAAAGTCATCAGAATAGGTTAATCTTTCCCATTTGACGTTATCATTTCATGTATTTCACATCTCATTCAGATTCTTTGGGGAAAGGAACATGACTGGGACTATTAAGTAATGTAGCTGAATTCCTTAATGAGGAAAGGAAACCAGATTCACTACATAAACCATCCCTAGAAGGAATCAAAGCATAGACAGAAAGTGAAAATGAGGTTGAATATATAAGAGGAAGTCTCATAAATTCACTCTACTGCTTTATTTTGTCCAACCACCTGGTCTAACATTCAAGTTTTGTAAAAACATCTTACTTAGTCATTCATTGTTAAAAAGCATTAATTATGTGTCTAATGAGATGCTGGGAACTAGGAATTCAATGATGAATAAGGCTTTGTCCACTTTCTCCAGAAGTTTCCAGTCTAGCAGGAGTGAGAGTATCTAAGAAAAAAGTTCCCATCAGTCTGATAAGTGCAAGAGTAGAACAGTTGACCAACTTTAATGTCACACCATTCAAAACCAGCTGTCCAACAAAATTCATTAAACTAATGGTTTTCTCTATGCATACCCAGTGATTTCACCTATGTTATCTGATTTCATCCTCAATTAATCAATCACAAGAAAATATTCTTCTTAGGGAAAAACCCTGAACTGACTAGCAGCTTTTTTCCTTTCAAGTCTATGCAAAAGAACACCTGGAATTTCACAGAAAATAAATTTTGGTACAGAAAGGAAACAGTTTATGACAGATTCAGATATCACATGAGATAAACCATAACTTCCCTATAAAGGCTTCTTAATAAAATAGTTTCCAGCCACTGAACAGGCCAAGTCTAAAAGAGCAGACTCTGTGGCTAATGATATTCTCTGATTTTGGAAGGAAACTGGAAAGGAAAGAATTAGAAAACAAAACACTAAACTGAAAACAAAAACGAAGGCCTCTAGAACTCAAGGGAAGGAGCAAGTTCTCCTGTCTGAAATTTGACTGACAAGAGGAAATGCTTGATATAGGAAACATGGCGCTCCGATTTTCTAAAGAAACCACTGATTTGAGATGATCAAGTGGAAGTAACGTTCTCAGTCACTGGGGGAGCTGTCTCAGACACCTCGGTGGATTCTGCACAGAGCCGCCACATTCTCCGTGCCCAGATTTGTTCATGTTTGATACTTGGATTACCCCAGCAGGAAACGAGCAGTCTTTGAATGGAGGGTTTTGTTCAGGATTCTAATAGCTTCCAGCATTTGCCCCAGACCACAAGGAGTACACCAAATTCACTTAGACATCCAGGCCGGAGTGAAGCATTTCTCTGTCAGATCTAGTCAGCTCCACCAATTTAACATTTTGGCTTCTCGTGGGCAAAGAGAAGTCTTCCAAACAGCACTGGTGGCTGGGGGCAATCTGGTGACACGTGGCAGTTCTGGAAAGAAAATTAAAGAACACAACCAGCAAACTTTCTACCCCACTCCACTCTCCTCATTCAAGGGAGAGAAGCGAAGAGTCAGCTGCTGGGGTGATAAACAACCGCTGCCAGCTGCTGGGGTGATAAACAACCGCTGCTCCTAGAAACATCCTCGAAGGTGGTTGTATCTTTTCCCCACCTAATTTGCCACATTTCATTGTTTGCTTTCAAGATTACCTCACTATGAAGTTTGTGGATATTAAAGGTAGAGACATGATTTGTTTCCTTCAACAATTTCATCCTAGCTAGTCTAGTAAATAAAGTGGGACACTAGCCACCTCTGATTCAGTCACCAAAGCTAACTATGTTCAATCAGAGTCAATAAAATATTTGCCTGGTGCCTACTATGTGCCAGGCAATATGCCAGGCATATATATATGATGATAACAATGAATAATGATAATATATTACAATATATTATTATCGTGACAATACCAACAACAACAATAATAACAATCAACCAATCAACAACAGTCATCTAGCAAGTGCTTACTGTGTGAAAAGTTATGATAAATGTATAGGGTTATAGCACTCCTCACAAAACTTTGAGCAACATATAATTATTACTTTCCCCTTTTACAGGTGCAGAAAAGAGGGTTCCAAGAGATTAAATAAACTTGTTCAAAGTAGTACAGCTTGTAAATGACAGAGCTGGGATCTGAATGCAAGGCCTGTCTATAAAGGCAATGCCTTTAATGTCATTAAAGGAAGTCACACTGAAACAACATTAAAACTTTGTTGTAATGCAAAAGAATGAGATAGATGGTAAAGCTTTCCAGATTACAGCAAAATAGATAGACTAGTTATATTACTCATCTGAACCAAAATAAAAGTAGAATGTTGTCAGCTTTCTAATATCTAGACCAGCATAATATGTGTGACCCATTTTCACCCCAAAAAAGAACTACATAATTAGAGGTTAGGACAGAATAAGGACTACAAAATAACACAACAATAAAATAATAACATCTTTCCCTTTTTTCCATAAGAGATGCACTCAATTTCTGTAAACTGAAGCTAAATTGCCTATGGGAATGCATGTGTGTATATGTGTGTTTCCTGTCAGATTTTCTAGTTTTACCACTCCATTCTTACATTAGTATATGGTAAAACATTCTTTACAAGGTTTTGAAAGGACTCAACAAAGAAAACATTCATAAAAGTTAAATGGGAAACTGAACTCATGGACGGGATAAGTAATAAAAAGCTTACAAACATCTGATTTCTGCACAAAGCCAGTAAGGAAGAAATAAAATAAAATAAAACACAAAAATCTCAAAACCTTCTGAGAAGGTTCCACACTTCTGAGAAGAAAGAAAAAAAAAATGAAAATTTTGGAGGACTTCAAGGACAGAAAAGGGCACTGCCCGATTGCATCTTGGCAACACAGCTCTGAGGGACAGAGGGGATTTTGGAAAGTCTTGTTCTACTATGCTCCCACCATCACTCAAATTGTTCAGTGGGTAGTTATGCCCAAATTTTTAGCCCTAGAATATTCACTCAGATTTAGGGCTGCCAAGGACCTGCACGGCTAGAATTCTGCCAGTGACAGAGGAGGAGTAATGTGCAGGAAATCATCACGCAGTCTACCCCAGCTAACACCAAAACAACACACATGGATTCATAAATACAACTTGTACATAACCCCCAAAGGTGCATGAGTCACGTGAGACACAGAATCCAGACTGAGAACCCTGGAACAAAGTAAGTGCCCTTACACTTGAGGATCTGGCCATGTGTAGAGCCACATATGAGATGATTCAAGTGCTTTCTTAGTTTGTAGCTTCGTAACAGATGAATTTCTCCAGTTTCTCTGACATGAGTTGAGGGCAAGTGGCTTTCATCAGACAATGGTCCAGTCATGAAAACAGTGACGGCTAGAGGCCAATTGCTCAAGTTTCAATCCTGCCTCTGTCTTTTCACAGCAGTGTAATCTTGAACAGGTTTTACTTATTCCTCTGTACCTCTGTTCCCTTATCTCTAAGACAGGGATTGATAATAACACCAGCTTCAAAATGTGGTAAAGATTAAATGAGTCTTCATAAAGGAAGCACTTAGGACATCTACCTAGCACATAGGCAAACACAAAATAAATGTTAGCTATTATTAGTCTTGGTCCTTTCTAGGAAAAAAAGGGATGACCTAATATAATAAAGTTTCCTATCAGAAAAGCACTAGAGGACTGCAAAGAATAGTACAGAATGCATTAATTAATTCATGAATGTCCTTTGTTAAATCATCATTGGATGTTCATGTCTGCTATCTTTGCAAAGTTGACATCTGGTTAACCAAACACGTATCACCATCTATGTCTCAATACAAAGGCAGTGTTAGGTGTAAGAAAATGTAGATAGCCTGTGAACTCTATCATAAATAATGATTTTAAACATATGCCAGCAGGCCTTGCAGACGCCGCCACCCCGGAGCCTTCCTTGCTGTCTACCCATGGTCAACCCCACTGTCTTCTTCGACATCGCTGTCGACGGCAAGCCCTTGGGCCGAGTCTCTTTTGAGCTGTTTGCAGACAAAGTTCCAAAGACAGCAGAAAACTTTCGTGCTCTGAGCACTGGGGAGAAAGGATTTGGTTATAAAGGTTCCTGCTTTCACAGAATAATTCCGGGATTTATGTGCCAGGGTGGTGACTTCACACGCCATAATGGTACTGGTGGCAAGTCCATCTATGGCGAGAAATTTGATGATGAGAATTTCATCCTGAAGCATACAGGTCCTGGCATCTTGTCCATGGCAAATGCTGGCCCCAACACAAACGGTTCCCAGTTTTTCATCTGCACTGCCAAGACTGAGTGGTTGGATGGCAAGCATGTGGTCTTCAGCAAGGTGAAAGAGGGCATGAATATTGTGGAAGCCATGGAGCGCTTTGGGTCCAGAAATGGCAAGACCAGCAAGAAGATCACCATTGCTGACTGTGGACAAATCTAATAAATTTGACTTGTGTTTTACTTAACCACCACACCATTCCTTCTGTAGCCCAGGAGAGTACCCCTTCACCCCCATATGCTCGAAATATCCCATAATCTTTGTGCTCTCGCTACAGTTCTTTGGGTTCTGTATTTTCCTTATCTCCCTCCAAGTTTAGCTGGATTGCAAAGTTAAATTTATGATTATGAAATAAAAACTAAACAATTAAAAAAATAAAATAAAATAAATAAAAATATGCCATCAGATTAATAGCTTTCCTTTATTTCAGTTTGTGAAGATTCAGCCATAGTATAGTTTTGCAGTCCCAGAGGCCCATAGGTGGTGACAAATTAGAAGAGACCTCAATGAGCATGACAATCTTGTACAGATAGTCCAGTACTCTCACTGGGCAGGTGGAAAACCTGAACCCAGAGACCTTCATGGCTTGCCCAGATAGACCGTGCAAGTAAATAGCAGAGCCAAGAACTCAGATTCTTGGATATTTATTTGTTCACCTGCCTCCTTCCACTAGACTGTCAACCCCTGGAGGCCAGAGCCTAGTCACACATGTCTTCCTAACTTCATGACAGCCCAGGACATGTAGACAAAGAAGGCAACAATAAATAAGGGTTAAAAAGGACCACCGTGATGTGGTATTCTTTGCTACTTCTAAGGTACTATTTTAACCCTGCAAAAGAGATAGTTATTCTCATTCAGTGAAAAGATGACACAGATGATAAGGCAAAGCAGAAATCAAATCTAAGCATTCTGCTGGTCTGTGAGTCAGGAGACCTGAGCTTTTGTCTTATTCTACCATAACTTGCTTTGTGACATTCAATGAACATTTAACTTTTCTGAAAAGAAGACAACAATACAGCCTTGATAGAGCTGAAGGGAGTCCAATTGTATGAGATCACAAAATAGAATGAAATAATAAAGGCCATAATTAATTGTATGTCATAAAGGCTATAATTAATCACATGTCACTTTCTCTGGTGGCTGAGATGATAAAGAATCTGCCTGCAATGCAGGAGATCCAGGTTTGATCTCTTGGTCGGAAAGATCCCCTGAAGAAGGAAATGGCAACCCACTCTGGTATTCCTGCCTAGAGAATTCCATGAACAGAGAAGCCTAGTGGGTTACAGTCCATGGGGTTGCAAAGAGTCAGACATGACAGAGATATTAACACTTTATGTTTCTATTACACTTAATAATTCTCAAAAGGCTTCTTTGTATATTACCACTTAAGCTTCATGGTAACCATGCAGAAGGTCAAGAAATATGTTATAGCCCCATTTTACAGATAATGACACTAAGGACAGAGGGACCACATGTTTATATCAGGAAGGATGACATGTTTATATTAGATTAAATGAGAAACATCATCTCTGCCAAAGGACAGAATCCACAGTAAGAAAGAAAAACATACACTCAGATCAAGGACCCAACAAGAGATAGCACATAGCTTCCAGCTGGAATTAACAATGAGCCAAAGAGCCTTGTCATCAACCCCTAACTGCTAGCTTTCTTCACTCAAAATTCTACTTTCAAAGATAATGTCTCTCCTGCAGTCACAGAAAGATCACATGGGTTATGGGAGATATGAAGTCAAGACATTTGGCATATGGATCAGACACACAGCAGAAGAAAGCCTCTTAAAATATATCGTGCCTACAATAAAGCAAAATATATTTCTAAGCATTTTATTGAAACTTCACAGGAAGAAAGACCCTAAAATGTGAAAAATGATAGCAAAGAGAAATTATATGATACTCTATTTTTTACTTCATCTGAAATAAAATGTCGTTAACATTCACTTTCTTTACAGGATATGTCATTTAGAATTTTTATTTTAACAAACTTTAGCAAATACAAGAAATCAGTCCTACACTTGTCAGAAAGGGCCGCTCCACCCCCAAGCCCCATGTTATCACGGAAAGCCCAGGACTGACTTTCTGGCCGACTGGAGAGGACATCAGTCTTTTGAATTCCCACTTTCTCAGCATTCTGATAGCTTCCCACTTTATTGATGAAGGCCATTATTTCAAAGCAGAATCCAAGAAAATTATATTTCCAGGTGTCATACAGCAAAGCAATCATAAGTCCCTCTGCAAAACATGGATGCTAAAAAAGAAGTCAAGGGAAGCAGAAACTACTTCCTGGGAAATAATCTTCCAGCAAGCCTGTTGGTGCAGTGGAGGCTGTGGTGAAGCTACTGGTATCTTCCTGAGCACTGTCAGCCCAAGGCACTGGACAGCGGGCAGACGTATTTTCTCTAGAGCTATGCATGTGTGAGAAGTCGCTTCAGTCACGCCTGACTCTGCAACCCTATGGACTGTAGCCCATGGATGAGCTCCTCCGCCCATGGGATTCTCCAGGCAAGAATACTTGAGTGGATTTCCATACCCTTTTCCAGGGGTTCATCCCAACCCAGGGATGAAACCCGTGTCTCATGTCTCCAGCATTGGGAGGCGGGTTCTTTACCACTAGTGTCACCTGGGAAGCCCCATTTAGAGCTGTCTTGGAGTATAAACGGGCATCACCACAGTTGGCTATCTGGCCCTGAAGATTCAATACTCATGCAGGCTGCAACAGAGCAATACCCAACAGAAGAGAGAAAGGGCTGAAATCCAAAAGAAAACCAAGCGACAGACTATTACCAAAGTGGAAGATGTTGCTCTCAATTTGCATACATAGCAGCACACATTTCTCTCTAACATAAGAGGACTATAAAAAATGTTCTGGCAGCCACGTCTCAGTTTGCAGCTTCATCTCCTCACAAAGCTTTAAAAATGTCCTCATTCTGCCTGTGAAGCACTGGGAGGAGGTATGGGAAGAAGGGAGTTCCTGGTCTCTACCAGATTCCTCCTGGATAGCTATGCTTGTCCCTGGAATAAAGCTCCCCTCCAAAGAGAGAAAATCTTTCATTTTCTGGTCCAGTCATCTTCAAGAAAATCTAACCTAACCCCCTCATCAGACAAACTTCATCAGACAAAATAGAATCTTTTGGTCATGGCAAGCTTTGTGTCAAGGTAAGGGAAGAGACTGCAGGACAAATCCTCTTTTAAACCTTAAAGACGGTGCCCCACCTCCTCTCTGTCATTATATTGTAAAGAACAGCCATGTGACTGACTCATCTCTATTTCTTTCACTCAGAACACTATCTGCTGGCCAGAATATTTTCAAATGTTGTCAACCACCAGATTGTACCCTTCAATTCTTTTTAGCTTCTTTCCAACTTTCCAATACAGAATCTCATTAACTGGTCTGCCTCTCTGGCTGCTGTACTTTGTTGTTAACTTTCCCCATTTTAAGATATTTTCCTATGAAGATCTCTCTTTAGAGATGGCAGTTATCCACCTCCCCACACACAAAATGCAGAACCAATTAAACTCAATAAAGTTTTATTGAATAGCTATGATGTATACTACTTGGTGCTAGGCAGCGTGGGAAAGAAAGGCTGAAATTTATGAACAATAATAGTTAACAATAATAATAGCTATTTACTCTGACCTTGTATACAGGGGATCTTAACACATGACACAGTATGATGCTACATGATGATGAGAATGTGGCTTCTGCTTTCTGACAGACCTGGGTTCAACTCATAGCTCCTCCATGCATGCCATTTTCTTAACCCTTATGTGTCCCAGGTTCCTCATCTGTAATATAAAGTTATTAACAAGACATATCTCATAGGGATATTTTGAAGATTCCATCTAATCACAAGTGTAAAGCACTTAGCCCAGAATCTATCTCATAATGACATGTGGCATGTATCTGTTCTCCACATTTTAAGAGGAGAAACAAAGTCAGAACTAGGATACCCACCCAGTATGAAGGTTTTATTTCTACTGCCTTGTGTGACCAGAATATTGGAGGAAGTCATGTTACAAGCCTCGAGTATGGCGATTGGGAGAGACTCAAAGAAACCATCCCAGCTCCTAGGATGGCGTCTCTCTCCAAGAACTGCAGGCCGTCACCCCTGCTTTCGCACACAAATCTGTAAATCTCACCCAGTTCTGAATCCTGAGACCTGGAGTAGCACCTGCAGAGGGGACATCTGTTTTTTTTTTTGAATGAATGAATGGCTAAAGTGATTCAGATGGAGTAAAAACCATAGTTACATATTGAGCATAAACTATATGTAAGGTCTCGATCTAAGGAGTTAATTTGAACTAACATTGATTATATATTTAGCATTTAATATTTAATTTAAACAAAATCAAATAGGCTTTGAAAAATGATCCAAGGGGTCAGGAAGAGGAATAATATATCCTCATGGAAGAACAGCTACCCAAAGTGGGCTTTTTATTGTTTTTGTTCGGCGGCTAAGTTGTGTCCAACTGTTTGTGACCCCATGGGATGCAGCACACCAGGCTTCCCTGTCCTTCACCATCTCCTGGAGTTTGCTCAAACTCATGTCCATTGAGTTGGTGATGCTAAAAAGAACAGAAGGCAGTGGCGGGCATCCAGACAAAGGGAGCCACATGGCCCTGATCACGAGGTGTGAGCCTGTTGGCATCAATGGCCTGAGAAGAAGTGTCTATAGAGGAACAGAAAAAAACACAATTCAATGGCTAGAGTAAGCCCAGTACAGCAGAAACTAACACAACATTGTAAATCAATTATATTCTAATAAAAAATAAAAATAAAGTAAAGCCAGGACAAGCAGGACCTCAAATACCAGCATGGGTGTTTGGCCTTGATTCCACCAAAATGGGAGAAACTAATGAAGCTGCTGGTGGTAATAAGTCGCACTGACAACAGCATTTGGTACCAAGCCTTCAATAGAACAAAAGCTGCAGAGAAATAGATTTTAAAGTTGGGGAGGCAGAGAAGCAGCCAAAGCGTCCCAAAGGCAGAACGGAGTGGGGTGGGGGAATCTTCATCTTCCTGGTGCCTGCTCTTCAAGGGAACGTTCACTAGGATAAGGGTGACTACCCTCATGAAGATCACTCAACGCTAACACTCCCTAGCCAAACAAAACAGAAGGTCCTCATACAGCAGTGCAGATGGAC